TAACTTGTTTATTTAACAAAGCATCCTTTACCATGACAAATTGTGAGCAAATATACTGCTTTGAAAGCTACTTCACTGTACAAATATCACCACACACACCTGTTTTTGTATCACCAATTGTATCTCCAGACTGCTAATTATAGGTCACTGATTAGGTTAACTGGTGTCAATTTATATTGATATAATATGAAAAATAAGGCCAAATATGAAAGCACAAAACTTATTTTTGACTGAAAGTTGCACAAGGTAGAACCAATGGCTGCTAGGTCAGTCCCATTGTCACATTGCTTTTCTCAGGGTTGTGTAGGGAAAGGCACGGAGTGCCTTTGGATGGGACAACTACAGAAAAAGGCATTAGATTAAGGGATCAACATACTAAAACCAGGGACAGGAGAGGCTCAGAGTAGGATTCCTCATCATTCTCACTTTAAACCTTGGAGGGCATCACTGCTCAGCAAATGCTCCATTTCTCCTACTACTTGTGTAATGAGTTCCTTGCTCTTTCTGGGTCCTATTGTCAAAGACACAAACTTCCTGGCCCTGGGAAAAAATCACCAGGAAATGACTGGATAGCTATAACTAATGGACCCTGTCAACCCTCCACCCAATATATAAACAAACAAACAAAAGAAAATCCTTAAAGGGTATCTGGGAATGTTTTTAAATACCTCTATCCAAAATCCACCTAAATTTCATGGAACAGGCCAGGTACACAAAGGTTTGATATGGACCAAATTTATACTTCAGGCTGGACATAAGGAAGAACTTCTTTACTGTCCGAGCTCCCAAGGTCTGGAACAGCCTGCCACCGGAGGTGGTTCAAGCGCCTTCATTGAACACCTTCAAGATGAAACTGGATGCTTATCTTGCTGGGATCCTATGACCCCAGCTGACTTCCTGCCCTTTGGGCAGGGGGCTGGACTCGATGATCTTCCAAGGTCCGTTCCAGCCCTGATGTCTATGAAATCTATGAAAATCTATGGTGAGGTGCCTCCTGTCTGCCCGACAGCAGCAAGGGGTGCAACTCCATGCTGTCACCCCTGCTGCTGCTAGGTGGGCATGGGAAACCTTGCTATGGCAGTGTGGGGCTCACAGCAGCAAGTGAGCTTCCCTGCCCCACTCTGCCCTGCCGTATTGGGTCCCACCCGCTGGGCCACGGAGGCCCTGAGGGGAGGGCAGCAAGGCAGGGAGCCTGAGCCCAAGCCCACAGTAGGTAGCCTACCCTAGGCCTATGCACAAAACTGGGGGACACATGACCATTATGCCCTCCCAGGAGTGCGTGCAGAGCGGGAAGCCAGCCTCCCTCCCCCACTCACCCCGAAGGAGCTACTTGTGCCCTGTCCCGCTCCTCCTGCAGTCCTGTGGCTGCGTATTCCAGCCCCGGGCCCCAAGCTCCATTCACCGCCCCAGCCCTGCTCAACTCCTTCCCTCCCTCTCCCACTGTGTCGGCCTCAATTCCCAATTCCCTCCCCCCCAACCCTGATTTACCTGCCAGGAGCTGCTCGCCAGGCTGCCTGGTGGCTATGTGCACGCATGAGCACGCATGCACGTAGTGCCCCCTGCCTGGTCGCTCTCTTCCCACTCCCTCCAGCCCCTTGCATGCTGAAACTCTGCCAGCCTGCAAGGGGAACCCACCGTTTCCCACACTCTTCTCCTTTGAAGGAGAAAATCCAGGTTTTACCACATTTTTCCATAGCATACGGTAATCCCTGGTAATCAGTCAGTGCTTGAGTGGAAGAGTATTTGAACCGTCAGTCCTGTGACCTCCACATCATCATCCAGACTACTGGAGAAATTAAGGTTGGTGATAAGGAGATGACATTGCTTTCTTGAGTCATGGCTGGCCAGATACATGCCTGACCACAGCACTAAGGGGTACTCTGGTGATAACAAAGAAAAGGTGTAGTTTAGAGGAGATATTAAACTGAAGTTCTGAGTCCTGACCTCTTGGCTCATGGACACTAACAATCTCTTTACTGTTTATTATGCCCGGTATCCTAATCAAAGTCTGCCTCAGAATTACATTCTTCTTGCCTAAATCCTTGTTGCATTTTCAGCTGGAAACAGGCTCCTCTGCCTGTCTTAAACTGCTGCAGTGCACCACATTACACCACTACTGCATTCTGCCTTTCAGAGGAACAATGCGATTGCTGGATATACACTAATATATAGGCAAACTCCTGAAGCCCCCACCAGCAAGAGGGTGTTCTACCCAAGAAAAGACAATAAACTGAATAAAGGCCCCTGGTTTGGGCCTATTTTTCATAGATTGCTTTTGTGTGAAAAGATTATATGAAAGTGTTTCTAAATAATTATTACTATTATTCTCCCAGAAGAGAAGAGATGTGGCTGCCCTGGTTGATACATTTTTAAGTGAGCTGTGATGAAGGGTTGATAGGATCAACTTGCTAATTGCTTTGCACACATGTGAACAGAAAGACTCTGTTACCTTCTCATCAAACGGGCACTCTGATGAGTGGAACATTTCACTGATCATGTCTGCTGGGGCATTAATGATTCACTGGAAATGATGTGCTGTAAACTACCTCCATGGCCCTTGTAATAGAGTAATGACAGTGGGCTGGGAGTGGAATGATTTCCCAATAGCGAAACATATGACTGTTTTTATCACAATCTGTCTCTAACTTATGGTGTTATGATAATAACAATAATAAATAATCAGGCATGAAAAAGTACAACTCGTGTGTTTATGTTTGAAGAGTGTCGAGAAAACAGATTTGCTCAGCGTCGAAAGCTTTGATAAAATGGAGGCAATTCCATGGTCAATTAATGAGCGACAAGACCCGGGAAGAAGATCCTGGAAGTTTCTAGAGCATTTGGTCAGACACGAGTTGGGGACTGGAGAATTTTCTAGAAAATTCTAGGGGGGTGGCTTACAGACGGGCAAGGACCAGAGGAGAGAGTTCAGGGAAGTTTTAAGGACAACTGATTATTTCCAAACTGGCCAGGAAATGGTTTAGACTGGAAAGTTCAGACTGGCAAGAGCCTGGGGTAGAGTTGTGGAGAGTCCCAGAAAAGTGTGGCAGTCAGGGACATGTGAGGGCACGGCACAGGCTGTTTGAGTAGGGAACAGTGGTGTTCAACGGGCTGAATGCAAAGAAGTGGTGAGAAGGGAACAGAAAAGTGAACGGTGTGTGGGGCACGACTGGAAGAAAGAAATTGCAAAGGGGGGCAGGAGGAAAGAGGAAGCAGAGGCAGAGCGGACCAGGTACAGAGTGATGGAGAACACAGAAGAGAGAGAAACAGGCTGCAAGAGCAGGCTCAGAGGCTGAGCCGTGGGGCAGAGGAAGTGAAACTCACCATGACTGGAAGCCCTGCATAAGAAACACCCTGGGAGCTAATCACCCGCTGGGAGGAGAAAAAGCTTTTGGGAAGCCTCGCTGCACTGGCGAACGGGGGGAAAACCAGAGCTTGACTGGCTTCATTGCCAGTAGCCGACAGCACTGGTTTCCGTGGGAATTTTGAGCCTGCTGAGCAAATGGGCCCAGGCTTTTCCCCCCATTTTCTCTGCCTGAAATGCACTGAAGGAGGAGGACTGTTCCCCCCTCCATAGGCTACGTAGCCAAGTTCCCCCCCATAGGCTACGTAGCCAAGATGTGTGTCCAAAGAGGCCATTTCTTAGACACTCCCTCACACTTTGTTTTGAACCCACCCTTTCCACAGCCTGTGCAAAGAGCACGTGGAGCTGTAAGCAATGCCAGCAGCATGGGCGTGAGTGTGAAGAAACAAAAGATCCCTGCTCCCACCGAGAGCCGCAACAACATAAAAAAAAATGTTTTACTAACAAGGCAAATCAACTAAGTCAAGTCCAAATCTATGAATCAGTCCAGCACCATAAGTGGCCCTACAACCGGCAAACATCCTCCACCCCTACCAGGGGCTTCAGATATTTCCAAAGTCTTTTGGCAGGCATCCTACGTGCAGGCCCAAGCCCGGACACTTGGGGTTCAGATGCCCCCTAGTTTCGCCTGCCCTCAACCATATGGCTGCAGAAGCAAGCTAGGGAGGAGCCTCTTGTTTCCGTAAAGTGGGCTTTAAGCCCCAACACCTTGGCGGGTACTAAACCATGCCAGAAGAACAGTTATCCCTGGGAACACTTAAGGAAAACTGCCTTCATGGACCCAGATAAATGGTGTTTCCCTGTAAAAACATTTTTCATTTTTTTATATATAGAATTTGTATCCGAGGCCGAATTAGCCAAAACTAATTCCAAATCCAAGAGTCCAGAACCATTAAGTGGCCCTACTACCGGCAAACATCCTCCACCCGTGCCTGGAGCTTCAGATGTTTCTAACACCTTTGGTGGGCATCCTACTTACAGGCCCCAGCCCGGAGGCTTGAGGTTCAGATGCCCCCCGAGTTGTGCTTGCCCTCGGCCATAAGGTCCTCGGAGCAAGCAAGGGAGGAGACTCCCATTTCCATAAACTGGGCTTAAGGCTGCTGTACCTCGGTGGGCACTGACCCACACCAGAAGGGCAGTTCTCCTGCGAGGCGGTTCAGGAAAGCTGCCTTCCTGGACACAAGTCCATGATATTTCCCCTGCCAGGTTAAGAAGCCACTACACTTGATCTGAGCTTTCAAGGGGCCAAGAAGTCCCTGTAGAAACATTTTTAAAAATTGAAATATATTTCTATATAGAGAGAGTTTTATATCTATATATATACACATCCTCTATCATAAGCTTTCCATTAAGAAACCCGAGCCTCCCCTTACAATAAACGCCCCCAATGCCCCCTGTAAAAACAGCAGAGAGCAGAGCGGCAGGAGGCAGGCGGGGGAGCTCTCAGCACAAGGGGGCAGGGGCTGTCGCGCTCCCCTCACACCAGGGGGGGCAGCGAGTGTTTCTGGAGCAGGTGAGAGACACTCCTAAGGAGCCCTGGTCTCCCTCAGAGCCCACAGGCCGCCCCTGGCCGGCCCCCAGCCCCGGGCGGCGCCGCCACGTGGCCCGACGCGCAGGGAACACCAGGAGCGCAGGCGGCGGGCCTAACACATACAGACACACGCTACACGCAGCAGCACGGAACTACCCTGGGGGCTGGAGTGATGGTGAATATGGACGTGTGCGCCCTGGAGTGCGCGGCGCTGCGGGAGCTGCTGCAGGAGGGCGCGGCGCCGTGCCTGGTGCTGGACTGCCGCTCCTTCTTCGCCTTCCGCTCCTCGCCCATC